AGAGAGAGAGAGAGAGAGAGAGAGAGAGAGAGACCCAGAGAGAGAGAAGCAAACCAACAGCATCACTGCACACCGTGTCATTCCAACCAAGCAGCCACTACGAAGTTGATCACGCAAGAAGGGCGATCACATCGCCATAACGTGAACTTGCAGCCCGATGATAGAAAAACCACATCATCGAAGCCGATGCAACTAAACAGCCACAACGAGTGCGGTGGCATTGTCGACGCAGATAAAAGATTGTTGCAAACTTGGAGCCCCATGGTCAAGAAACAGCAACATCGAAGCTCTTCTCCAGCCAGGTGGGAGCCCTTTGATCAAGAAGCAGCGTCATCAAAGCTCTTCTTCCACCTAACGGACAAATCAAAGCGCGACAAGAATATCCACATCTTCAAAATGAAGGAAGCTTCCCGTCGATAGTACGAAATCAACCAAAACTCGTTGATGAACAGCTGTGGTCCCCTCCAAGCAGCCGTCTCCACATTCGGACTTTTCTCTCACCCGCCGGTAAAGCAAAGCAGATTGCGGTGGACAGCAAACGAACGAAAGGCCATAACACGCGAGCAAAGCAATTCTCCTAAGCGGTTACATATCTACGGAGCAGGGGGTTAACCAGCCCTGATCAATTTTCATATCTTGTGGTTTTGCGACAATCGGATCTTGCCCCTCAGTCGTCCAGACTCCAGACCTGAGCCGCACAGCCAACTCAACTGAAAGGGATCAGCCATAGCCAGCGACCAAGCAATGGTCCCTCTGAAACCCTCGTCCCAACGGGCATCAGCCATAGCCAGGGATCTCCATGCTGCGATGGGGTGCAGTGCTCACCTTGGGGCTTTGCTTTCACCGCAGCCCACTTAGCCTTATGGTTAGGTGTTCACCTGCTGAACTGAGAGTTGTGTGTTCGAATCTTGCATTCAACACACATATAGCCAGGAACCAAGCAGTGGTCACTGCACAGGCGCGCCCCCCACGAATCTCCTGCTACCCCGACAGTAGATCACAGGCAGACTGAGCAGTGTGAGGTAGATGATCTGTTGCATGGGTTTTTTGAACTTCTTTCCATTGCACACACTGTGAAGTCTGCGGTTACTCTGTGATAAATTGATAATTAAGCCTCGACAACGCTGTATTGAGTTACAATCTCTACCCCTACAGCAGATTTTCGCACTAGGAGCCACCGCTGCGCTGCCTTTTATTCACACACCCAGAGATCCGTTTTTTTTTTTTTTTTTTTTTTTTTTGGTGAACTACCGACGGTACAGTCTTCCCCCGAATACAACGTACGGTCATTATAGCTGAATTTGGGCTAATTCTCATTCTAAATTCAGCTATAATGACCGTACGTTGTATTCGGGGGTAGACTGAAGTCATCTTTCGCCAACATTTTGAACGCATCAGCTTTTTTGCTTTTTTTTTTTTTTTTTGTGAACTACCAACGGTACAGTCTTCCCCCGAATACAACGTACGGTCATTATAGCTGAATTTGGGCTAATTCTCAGCCTAAATTCAGCTATAATGACCGTACGTTGTATTTGGGGGTAGACTGAAGTCATCTTTTGCCAACATTTTGAATGCCTTCGCTGACGTACGTCACGAGTTCAATTCCAAGCGCTCAGATACGCAGTTACCATCAAATTTGACCGATACCCCCATTTCTAATTTACATTAGCTTCTTTCCTCCTATTTATTTTTCGTGATGTTGGGGGCCGCGCGTACGCGTGCCCCCGCTACCAGAAATACTGCCGTAGTAACACCGCAGTGGGTGTGACTTAGGCCAGGCGAGACCCAAAGTGCAATGGGAACCCTGCAACCTAGGCCATCCGCCTTCCTGATCACGGATGTGCCCCGGCCAGGTAAGTATGATTTCAAAGGTAAAGGTTGGGCATTATATACTGGGCAGAGGAGAGTGCCCGCCTCATAGAGCACCAGCAGCTGCTTGATTCAGTGAAGGGGAAGGTTATGGGAGCGTCGGAGAGCACAGGTGTTGGGTAGTGGTAGGCCACATCTTGTCTTAGTTTCTCGTGAATTCTCTTCCTGTTGTTTTGTTTTTCGGTTTTTTGTTTTGTTTTTGAAAGGGACATGCTGCAATCTATTCGTGGGGAGCTTCCTTCCGTTCAAAGGGAGAGGTGCCACAAGCAAACAGGATTGGATTAAACGCCTGAATGTGGACGTGTTTTATCCAGATATGAGGACAAGCAGTTAGGATAGCGATTTTCTGCACCTCCCCACAAGGGCACATTCAGGGCATCGCCACACCACTCTCGAACTGCGCAAAATGAGAATGAACTTCCCGCTGGGACATGGCCAGATGCACCCGCCACATTTTTGTCTTTTTTCACATTTCGAGAGTGGTGTGGCGAGGCCCTCAGGCGTTAAATCCAATCCTCTTTGCTAGTGGGATCTCGGGGTTAAAAAAAAAAGGCGGACAGCAGCACAAATCAGCATACCCCTATCTTTAAGTATAAACCTAAAATAGGGGTATCCGTTCAAAAATTAAAAGCTGCAAAAAAGCCAATTGAAACAGCTGAGAGAAGACTGATGTCGAGTCAAAACAGGACAGTACAGAGATTGGATCTGTTTAAGCTATGGAAGGCCTTAAAAAAGGCCCCTTCACAGAAACAAGCGTCTTTACAATGGCTGCAATCGCTACAAATAACCGCATCCTCAACGTGGCTGAATTCAAAAGGGATAGACATCCCTACTACATGCGCCAGGTGTGAATGGGGGTGGGAAAATGCGGCTCACCTCTGGCTCCACTGTCCGCACTCCAAGATCATCTGGGAATGGTGGAAGGAAAAGTGGAAGAGCTTCTCTGACCCAAGTGAGGATTGGGGGGAAAACTTCATTTTACACGCCAAACTGTCAGGGAACGGGAACTTCACGAGCGGAGTGAGTTACATATCACTGATTTGTCGGGGAATCATTTTTGAAGCAATTTGGACAGTTTTCGTACAGAAACAGTAGCTGTGAAACAGTCCTTGAATCAGATAAAATCGGCTGTCAGATTAGTGATTTGGGCCGACTGGAAAACCAAAAGCCTTCCCTGGTTCTCTAGGACGTGGGCGAAAGGATCTTCCTTTGCGTCTATCTCTTCTGATGGGAAGATGGAGTATACTAAATGGTTGCTACAAGACTAGTTGGGGGTATGTTTGCTGTAGGGACAACCCCGAAGTAGGCTCCTTTTATCAACCAGGTCCAGGCCGTTTTAGGCATTTTCAGGAGTCTTTTAGTATGAGAAGAGAGGAACTGATACTCTGCACACGGGAGTTTTCAGTTTCCAAGCAATTGTCAGAAGATTGAGCGCACAGGGTGTTTTGTCTTATAGTTTATGGTTGAATGTGCCTCACTTTTCTCCTTTTGGAATGTTGGAAAGAGCTAGTCATAATGGATAGCTCACCTTTTTTTCTGAGCTTCAACGTTAAATCCTTCTGTTTTTGGGAAGCTTTTTTAAAAAAAGGACGCTGGGCCTCATTCTCAGCAAATAGTTGTATTTCTTGGTAGTAGCAGTTTAGATTTGATATTGGACGTTCGAGATGGATTTGTAAGCTAAACTGGCTAAGGCTGCCAGGATAACCCCGGGGGCCTCGTCAAATATACGAATTGGTAACAATATTTTCATGCTTTCCAAAAAAAAAAAAAAAAAAAAAAAAAAAGGAAAAAAAATGCAGCCGCCCATCTCAATTGGTTGGTTAGGCACACACAAATGCTATGCAGGAGGTTGTGGGTTCAATCCGCATGACAGCCCGTGGCACGCTCAATGCCAACCAACTGAGACAGGGCCTCGCTGTACTACACTTGAATCTTGAAGAATCAAGTGTACGCCACCGCAGTACTTGCACTCGAAAACAAAGCTGGGAAACAGCTTCAAGAGCTGTCAGACCGGCGCTAGATTCTTCAATAGTGAGTCATCGCTGCACTCACTCTTGACGGATGCTCTTGAATTTATTTTTCAAGAGGTGTCAGAAGGCCCGATTCTGACAGCTCTTGAAGTGTTCAAGTGTGCCTGCCTGCAAGGGTGGTTTTTTTAAGGGTGGCCAGCCCGACCCTTCACGAGCTCTTTAGCTTTCAAGAGCGGGCCTCCAGTCTGGGCAGACAAAGCAGCTTTGCACCGTCGTGTAGCATTCAAGACTGGAAAAAAAAAAAAAAAAAGGCAAATCAAGTATCCTTCAGGAGTAGGGCCGTCGAGAGTCAGTGCAGCGACCAGGGCTATTGTGAGCATTTCTCTTGTCTGAGAGCTCTTGATCTACACTTGAACTTTTTTGTGAGTCACGCATAGTGCAGCGAGGACCTCTTGACCTGTCTCTTATACACATCTAGATGTGTATAAGAGAATGGTATCTGGTAGAAGTGATGATAAATCCAGCGGCCTAACTCAGTTGGTAAGGCTCGCAAGTGGCATTCACGTACATGTGTCGTGACCAAGGGGAAAGCAAGACATAAGCAAGCGTTCCATCGCACACCTCCAAATCCACGCCATCAACAATAACTTTAAGAATATACTCCTTTAGTTTAGCGGCCATAGGTATCTGATAACGAAGAATGAGGCCTATCACTACAGCCCGGAAGAACGCGTTGAAGGAGCGATCACGAAGATAGAACTCCAAAGAAGAAGAAGAAGAAGAAGAAGAAGAAGAAGAAGAAGAAGAAGAAGAAGAAGACAGGTGGCCTAGAATCCCTAGATAACGTAGACAAGAATCCACCCCACATCGTTTGCATCTGCACTCATTTGCCAAGGACCAAAGCTTGGTCACGCTCGGGAAGTCCCCCTATAATTCGGTTGAGCGATCATCCTCATCCTCGGCGGCATCCCCTCCCTTATTCGTTTCTTCACTTACCTCGTGTATCGGGCCCGTGTCTTTTGATGACTGACCTTTGTTCTTGTCATCACCAAAGATCCTCCTCGCACGGGCTTCAGCCAGTTCACAGATGGTCTCCTCAAATCTGCCGAGTTTTACACCCTCCTCCTTGCAGAGAGGCTCCAGCCCAACCTTCCTTAATAACCTGAGTTGCTTCTTTTGTTCTTCCACGTAGGCACATCGATCATTGATCTTGTTAATGATCGATTTTCCACCAACCCTGCCCGGGGTTGCCCTCACTCCCGTGCGTGGTGATCTCACCGCCACTTCCTCCAATCGTTCCTTGAGATTAGTACCTCCACCGGCGTTCGCATTGTCCCCGTCCGCAGAGTTTACTCATTTGTTCTTCCAACGCTTTCACTTGTTTTTCAACGTCGATCCTTTTCCTTTCTGCTTCACCCCGTTTCTCTTTCAGTGCCTCCACTTCGATGTTAGCAAGCCGATGCAGACTTCTAAGGTTACGATATTCCGCTTTCCATCGATCCACGGATTCACCACCCCGAACACTCCCCGTCCATCGTGGTTTAGGACTACCATGATTCACACCATCCGGTGTGCCAACCACCACACTACCACGCTTATTACCCGGCCTCGCTGCCTCCTCCTTCCACAAGTTTGACTCCGCAGTGATCCGTTCATTTTGCTCTCGTAACACACCGATCTCCTTCCTGAGACCGGCAATCTCCGTCTCAAAGTTGGTTTTCAAATACGCCGACTGCGTAAGCTCCCCAATTTCCCCTTGTAAAGCGAGAATCGCATCTTCGTCCGAATGCTTCTCCGCAACTTGCTTCCGTAGGTCCATGATCTCCCGTTGTAGGTACATGATCTTATCGTCAGCCCCAGGATTGTTTAACTTGCCCAACCTTCTTTTAAGTTCCTCGTTTTCTGATCGTAACTTCGCCAGTTCGTCTCCGACCTTATCATTACAGCCGCTGCAAGCCTCCTTCCCCGTCAACTTGGCACCCAGAGCATCAATTCTCTTCTCCAGACGTGCTCCCATCTCAGCTTCAAGTTGTTCCCGCTCATGTTTCCATCTAAGCTGTTTGGCTTCGTCTTCCCTGCGAACCTTCTCCTTCTCCTCTTCTTCTTTCTTCCTGGCTTCCTTCTCGGCATCCTCGATGTACTTATTATATACCTTGTCAAGCCGCTCTTGATTACGTGCCCACCAGTTGGGCCGTCCCTGCTGACCGTAACTGGACCCCGCAGCGTTGGAAGGGTGAAAATTGGAAGGGGGAGGATGAGAATGAGAAGAAGATGAGGAGGGAGCGGATGAGTAGGATCCATTCGGAGCGGGCAAGGTCAAAAGAGGTACTCCCGTAGGTACCGCGTTAGCACCTTTAGCCGGCAGTCTAAATCGAGAGTTACGTATGGGGCATTCGCGGACCCAGTGATTCAACGCCCCACACTCATAACAACCGTTATTAACAGATACACCAGCCATTGGAAACAATAGTAAACAATCACCGAGTATAGTCAAACTGCAACACGTTACGAGTCACACAACCGTAGTATGATTCCTACGGCGGTTCCAATCGTTATGATGATGTTGAAGAAGCACAACATCTATCATGTCAGAGCATCATCATACAGATGACGGCCTAAAGGCCTAATTACCCCAACAACATAACGGCTAAGCATTCATCGCCAGAAATGGAAAGAGAGAAGGAATGAAGAAGAAGAAGAATAGGAAGAAGAAAAAAAAAAAAAGAAGAAGAAGAGAAACAAAGAAAGAAAAGCAAAGAAGCCAACACGACAAAAATCCCGAACGCGACTGGTAATAAAATTGTACCATGAAGCACATCAAGTCCAACCCGGTACTAGGCGTCATGCCCATATAGTCTTCAGAGGTTGAACTATCCCGGCAATGCCCCGACATGTTTCGTCCGGAGCCGGGCCGGACTCGTCAGGGGTCGTCGTCACGCTATCGAGTGCCGATTGACGTACGAACTTCTCTATTTAAGACAAAAGACCCAGACACTCACAAGCTTCCTGACTTACCGACCCATGTTGAACCTGGACTAAAGCACAGGAAGACTTCAAGAAAAGCCTAGAAAGTACCGGACAATCCGTGCATAAATACCATGCTAACCAAGGTACCGAGTTCGAGGTCGTGGCAAGCAGTCGGCGGAGGTACCGGTTTCAGATATCCGCATTCCCCCATTCCTTGCCAGGCCCCCGGAAAATCCGCACACCTCCTCATTCCCCCGCTCCTTGCCAGACCCCCAGAAATCCGCGCATTCCCCCACTCCTTGCCAGGCCCCCAGAAAATCCTCAACAACTCAAAAACGTTTGCCCTCTGTTATCGCCTTTTCAAAAGCAGCTACCTCCTCCTACCTTAGGCTAACGAGCCCCTCTCTTCACGTTCGAGAACTCCTACTCCTTACCAGCCTCCAAAATTGTGCTCCTCCCTCAATAGCTCAAAACGTTTGCATTGGTCCCCGGATAGGTAAGCCTTATGAGTAGTTGTAGGTAGGTAGGTAGTGAGGTGAATTGAAAGAATTTGAAAGATGATGAAAGATTTGAGAGAAGAATATAGGGTGGAAACTGTGTTATAGACGATGTTGGAGGTTATCTGGGTGCTGGAGGAGGGGTCGGCACCGGAGCTGGACGAGTTCGTTGACTGGCGTCAGGTGGACGCCTTGACCAGCAAATGTTACACGCTCCTTGATGAGGGGCTCGAGCGAGGGGCTGACTGGGCCAAGCGCTCTGGAGGGGAGCTGCCAATCTCCGTGATGGCCACGATCACACCAGCAACACCAACATCTACAACCATGATCATTGCCCCTGCGCCTGCCACGATGAGTACATATGACTTGGGGCGTTCAACAACGGAGATGGCGCACACGACGATGACATCAACTACGTTTTCATTAACTACATCAACGATCATTGCCCCTGCGCCTGCCAAGATGAGTACACGTGACTTGGGGCGTTCAACAACAGAGATGGCGCACACGACGCTGATATCAGCGACATCAATCATATCAAGAGTGCCTGCGACTAAGACGCTGACATCTGATCAGGCCGCCATTGATATCATCAACAATGATATTGTGCACGACAGTGGCATGGAAGAAGGAATCCTGAGTCCGTGTGCACCCGGGAGCGATAACAATCACAACAATAACAAGAACAACAACAACAATGTCGGTGACAATAACAACAACAATGACACTGATGTTGTGGTAAGTGTGACTGGGCATTCTCTTCCCCCCCCTCCCCCCTCCCTCCCCTCTTGTTTTCCTTTTTCCGGTTTTCCGCTGTGGATTGGGGGGAGGGGCGAGTGGGTCGGTCGAATGGACTGTTCTGTAAACTGAAAGGGTGTGCGGGGGAGCAAGGAGTGGGATGGTGGCGCAAAGGGGTAGGATAGTGAATGCTAGATCATCAGGTCGAATAGGGTTGCACGTGAGTGGTTGGTTTTAGTGCAGCTGATTTTGGCCACGTGGCAACAGGGCTAGTAGGGTTTGCTCATGTGTTTGGTCAAGATTTGTCATGTGGGATTAGCAATTTTAACTTCTTTCACGTTTCTATAAAAATAGGTATTTACCACATGGCAGGGCAGGTGGTGCTGTGAGAATCGGCACCGGGGCTGCTTACACGATTGATTTCTGCTCATCCACGTGGGTATTGCGATTGACTTTTTTCCAACCTTTCCCACTTGAACGCGACTTCGATTAATCAGGTCTGCTGGTGGGCACATACCTTTTTGCTATAAACATAGGTTTTTTCCACAAGGCAGGGCAGGAGGTGTAGGGGTGTTAGGCACCAGGGCTGCTGATATGATTGATTTGTGTCCTGCCACGTGGGTATTTCGCCTTGAAGTGTTTTGCAGCGGTGTCTTCGCCACTTGAGTAGGTTCTATTGCTAATTAGGATTTTGGGGGCATATCGGTGTGGGCAACCTTTGATAAGTGATTGTAATAGTGGAACCAGGCTTTATCCAGATCTATCCTCCCTCTCATGACAAAGAATTGCCATGGTGATAGACCAGGATATGGTGAGGGTCCTAGGGTTGATACCGGCAGTCAAACCCCGCGCAGGAGGGTAATCAATGCTGCCTATACATTAATTGCCCATGCCTCTACAAGGGTGAGATCATTCGACTTGCAATGTTCAGGGACGCTGGACCCGTTTTCCAGCAGGTGTAGCTCCCCACCAATAGATGGAGCCCTCCTGAGATTGCTAGTGGTGTCTGCTCTTATCAGCACCCCTCGCATTATCTCGGGTCGCTTGTGATTAAACAAAAAGTAAGCAAAGGTGAAAGTTGAATAAAGAGCTGAGGCTACGCCTCGGGTGGAAGGTTGGAGTCTATATCCTCTGGAGCATGGTACCACTAGCAACGAGATAGGATAAAAACGAGTTTGTGGGCCAGTTGAGCGACCCAAATCGTGTAGTGCAGTACTCATGATCCCACGGTCAGTATTGTATATGTATTACCCGAAAAAGTAAGGAGATCTTTGTTCCCCTCCTCCTCTCCTTAACACTGGGCATGCCCGTGCAAAGAAAGTTTCCTGTCGGAATCTTTTCAATCGGTTGGGGGTGTGGCCAACCCCAAAAGAGGGTGGGGTCGGCCATAGGCCCAATGGATAGAAAATTTTCATTGGGTGGAGCCTTCCTTCAATCACGGAGTATATGGAGGGTGTCAGGATCACTGCTGACAGAAGTCGATTTTATTTAGTAAAATGTGGCGGTTACTGTGTTCACTGTTGTTGCAACCACCACCATCAGATCATTTGTGATCTGATGGCTGGAAAGCACTCTGCCGTGATTTCCGGTGGGAGGTCTCTGTTTCTATTTTTTTCTTTTGCCTTTGTCTTGTTTTCTCAGCCCAGAAATTCGTAATGAACCTGTCAGTCCGCTGCCACTCAGTGTCACACTAGATCGACCACACTCCTATCTGACTGCTAATGGAACCGTGCCCTTGAAATTGCAACACTTTTCCATTCATGTTTTTTTTTTTTTTTTTTTTCCCTCTTCTCCTCATAGCGGGCCAACTATATATTTTTTCTCTCACCTCACATATTTTATCTGGCTTTCTGCCATGTCATGGAACATATCCTTTTCCTTTCACTACCTACCTACCACTACTCCTAAGGCTATACAGGGGACCCCTGCAAGCATAGCTTTCTACCTCTCTTCGGTGAAGGGAGGTTAGCGGCATGTTTGCTCCTTTGTCCTAGCGTTTAGGGTGTAAAGTTGGGGCCGCTGGTAGGGGCCCGGCTAACACAAGGACAGAGCATTTGCCAGTAATTGTGCCTCTCTTTTCATCTTCCCCCACCCCCATCGGGTAACAGTAATATCTAAAGCCAACACTCTCCCACAACCCACTCACATGCATACTCACGCTCGTGTTGGCTGAAGACCTTACTAATCTCGGTTGGTTGGCTCCGAGCATGCCACAGGCGACCATGGGGGGTGAACCCACGACCTCCTGAATGACAGTGAATGACACTTGCGTGCCTAACCAATTGGGGGGCCGCTGGATCCATTCATGTTTTTTTTTTTTTTTTTTTTTTTTGTTTCTACCTGTCGAATCTGGACAGGATGGCCTTTTAGACCTTATTTATTGTCATTATAGTAGTACGGGGAACCCGGTAGCAGCCACATCCGTGGTCAAGCCTCCAACGAGGGAACATGAGGGAGCTGCATCCACTAGTAGGTGGGCGATACCGACCAGGGGTCAGCCGTTAGCATCAAGACTGAGCTTCTTCGATGGGCCAGTCACCGTGCCTCCCCTCCGGTCCCCTCTTCCTATGAACATCAGCCGTCTCTGCTCAATGCCACTAGGGGGGACCAATGGCATATCTCCAGGTGGCGGGCGCCAAGCTTGTCCACGAAGGTACATGAGGGCAATAGGGATTGAACCCAAGACCTCCTGAATGCCACTTGCGTGCCTTACCAACTGAGCAAGGCCGCTGGATCATTCATGTATAATTTAAATGAAACAGCAGCACTCTTCGGTTTCAGGCGAGCAGTGCTGACAGACTGGATGATGACCAAATCCCAGTCTACGACGAACAGAATGGTTCCGCCATACCTGGGCTAGGAATAACAGACTGGCCTCGATCACCATAAAGGGAGAGCTTAAACTCGCCCCTTGGCTCTTACAAGGGCAAAAGGCACTGAGGGTATTGACAAACTAGAACCGCTAAAGGTTCGACCTTGCTTGGATCTCTTGGAGAGGCCGCAATAGGACAAATAGTTATATAGATACAAGTACAAGTAGGACTACTGGGAAAGGAATAGCAGTAGAATGTACGAAATAATACATAGGATAAAGTGTTAGGGAAGGATTTAGACTCTCGGCTGGTAATTTTTGAAGTATATGGGTCTGACTAGTAGGAGAGGTGAAGTTCTCGGGAAATGTGCCAGTCCTTTTTTGGTAGACTACATAGGCCGTCAGGGTAGGCCTATATAGGAAAGAGTAGAAGACGGAAATAAGAGGGAGAGGGGTATGCATCTCAAGGTAGTTAGTTTAGGTGTTCTTTAGTCTAAGAAGCCAAACCGGCTGACGCTACCGGGATAACTCCGGGTTGAATTGTGAGGTCCCCAACCTCGTTCGAAATGATCTTTTGAAATGGAATTAAAAAAAGAAAGAAAAAAAAAAAAGAAGGGGGATAGAAGGCAATAGGAATAGAAGGTTTAGGTAATGGGGTGGGTTTGTCGGTGGTAGGTAGAAGGTTATTGGTTATGAGCGATATCGGGGAAGCTATAGTATTAGTACTAGAAGTAGAGGACCTCTAGTAGATGAGTAGATGTAGTCTCAGTGGTTCAGAACGAGTAGCTAACTCAGCAAGGAATTGGTTAAACCACCAGTACTTGGGCCATACATCGGTCGCGGGCCTTCCCGTATACGCGCCGCAGCCTTAGGGGGTCGGCCAAGGGAAGGCCCGGTCGCTGCTTGAAGGTCGGGCCCCGCTTCTTTCGGTTCGACACAACCCCGCGACAAGAAAGAGAAGAAAAAAAAATTGGTGGGGGACTAGCGCAGCGTCGGGCGCAGGAGCGCTCCGTTGTGCGCTATTGGTTTGGGAGGACCGGTGCCACTGCCACCGAGCTAGGCACGAGGCCGAAGTTCGGGATACTGTCGAAGCCTACCCGGCCATAGCCGGGTCAAACTCCTTCAGAGAAGGGGGAGGAATGGAGGTGGGCTAGTGGTCGAGAGACAGGTGATATGCACAAGTGTAATGAGTCAAATGAGAAGAAGACGTGGCGCCAAGAGGCGCTAGCGTCTGTGATGTGGGATCTCTAACTTAGGTCGTAGTGTAAGCAAACGCGAATAGGGTTAATTAACGACACAGGGACCGGCGAAGTGAACGGGTGTAGGGACCTCAGAGTAGGGACCTTAGAGAGGAGCAGAAGAGGAGCTTATCCAGGGAGAGGAAAGTCAAGGGAAACGTCAACAAGTAGAGAAAGAAGAAGGAAAGCAGGTTTACTGCTAAAGCAGTAAGGGAGGGGATAGGAGTGGAGCTCGGTTGGCGAGGAAGAGGAACTAGAGAGGTGTGAAGCCAATGGAGTGGCAGTGGAGTACCTCAAGGCAACATGAGCTCGGCAAACCTCCACCCCACCCCGTCAGGGGCAGTGGGTGGTGGAGAAGCGTCATCCTCAGCAGAACAAGGGGGGGTGGATGACGTAACAGAATCAGGGCGTTGCTTGACATGTGTTTTGATGATGGCCTATTCCCTGAATCCAACATCGATTTTGGGGAGACAGAAATTATTGATGGGATAGGCTACTTAACACTGAATCAGGAAATTGACGTAGCAACAGTAAACTGGCTAAAAGCTAGGACGGTGATGGTTATCTTTGACGAGCCGGCTACGTCCTTAAGTGTGACGCAGAGAGAACAACTGATTAGAGGCTACGAAGAAGCTTGGTATCAAGAGGTGGATATCAACCCCACGCAAAAGAGAGGAAGGACACATGGTGAGGGGCCGAACGTATCTTCTTATGTGGCGAGAACAAAGAGAATAGCACAATGGCTAATTGCTAAAGGGGAAGACAGGATTCCGACGAGGAACGGGTCGGTCGAAGTCCTATTTAAACCGTGGATGACTAAGCAAGAATTAGACAAGATGAGAGACAACGAAGCAGCAGGGAAGTTTAGAATTATTGCTCTCAGAGTTCCTCTTGAGGCACTACCATCTCTTAGGTATGTTGTGCAAAGATTTATGGGGCGAGTTTTGGTTATGCACCCGCCGGAGAAAAGAGCAGACGAGCCTAGGTTGGGGAATATTAGAATTGACTGTGTGTCGGAGGTCACACAGACCTTCTTGGAGTGGATAGTTGTGAGGAAACCTACAGGGGGGTTTGTGGAAATGAAGTTCGCGAATCAGGAAACGCCATTTTGCAACAAATGCCTCTGGTGGTTTCATGATGAGTTCGATTCGGAATGCCCCAGGTCTTGCGAACCCATGCCAGAGGGGAGAGGCGGTAGACGAGGCAGAGGGAGAGGAGCGAGAGGTCGAGGAAGCGGAGGCGGCCAGAGAGGAGTGCAAGGTACGGGTGGTGGTGGTGGGCGAAGCACTACCCAAGGAAGAGGAGGACCGCAAGGGAGAGGAGGTCCCTCCAATCCGAGTCAGCAACAACATCAGATGCACCAGATCCCGATTTCAAGTGTACCTTTATACAATTCGGGGGCACTGGTGGTGTATTCGTCAACGGCTCCGCTGGGATCGGAAGGAGGAACCGGGACGAATTTCCGGCCCCTGTGCATAGGAACGGAGTCAGGAAGAAGGATGGGAGGGAGCGTACCCGCCATTCAATCAGCGGGAAATGTCCAGCTGAGGAGTACTCAACCACTCTACTCTCCATCAACGGTAGTGGCAAGGCCGATCCAGATGGGACAGCCTACTACTATAGGGGTTTAAGAGCAAAGTTGGAGGCCAGAGGGTGGCCTGGTCCCTGTCCCATATAATCCTCTTCCATTTCTCCAGTCTCATCCTTGGGATGAACAAGGTCGAGGCAACGAGATAGGAGCATACCCTATCCCGGTGGCCCCGATCCCAATAGGGGGAAGTTGGGTATGTCCCACCCGCCCGTCCTCTACGGATAACGGGATGCGTGTAGACATGGGTAGGGGAGGTGGAATGGGATTGGGATTGGGGAATGGGGGTATGGAGAGTGGGAGGAGGTTTCAGGGCAGTATACAGCCACAAGGAGAGGCACGTGGAAGGCAGGGGGTAATACAAGATCCCCCCCCCCTTCTGTCAAGGTCAACGCCGCAGCAAGAAAGTTTGCAGACGCGCCCCGAACCGGCAGGGATCTCGGCGCAGCAGGGTCAAGATACAACACATCTGTCCTATGTGGCTATCAGAATTAATCCCGAGTTTGCGGTGGAAAATCGTGAAGATGAGGTTGCGGCTCTGGCATTGATTGGCACAAGAGAAATAAACCTGGAGAGGAATAGTGGTAGGGGTGGAGAAGGTAATGGTGGTGGAAACAATGATTGTAGGGCAAAGGTGGCGGAGCTTCCGACGGCTAATCGTGGGGAAAGGAGGGGTCTGCCGGATCAAATAATGTGTGATCCAGGCAACAGGTCCTCGCTGTTGTTCCCAATTAAAACAAGAAGGGTGGGGGAAGCTGGAAATGCAGAACCTACCAGGGAAGGGGAGGATGGAGAAGGAGAAGAGGAGTTCTTCAATATTGCATCACCACCAACTCAACGGGGGAAGCCAAGCGAAGAGCGGGATCCGAGACAGAGAGGTAAACCGCCTGCGTCATCCTCACGACAGGGGGGTCACCAAGGTACCCACCATGTGGTCCTGGTGTGTTCGTCATTAGCCCCCCAGGGGACTAAAATAATGGTGGGCAAATCAGAACGAGGTGGCTTTGCTCTCCCGGCTATTCAAGTGAACGAGTTCCCGAACTCCAAGGAATCGGTCAGGGCAGCTGCATTGAAGTTTGCGGCAGGGCGTTTCCCGCTCAGGTTAATTTTGGGGATAAGGATTGGCCGTAAGACCGAGGAAGCAGAGGGAGGAGCGGTACTCCACTTCCACATAGCCATGGTGGATGTCAAGATATCGATGGAAGTTGCAACAGCCCTAGAGACTGAAGGAGTACAGTGGGTACCGCCACAGTGGTTTGACTCCAGGACTTCGTCTGAAGCTGCCAAAGTCCAGTTAGGTGGAGAGGTTAAAGCAGAAATTGTGTCAACATTATGTGGATCAATCCCAGCTGACAAGCAGCCCTGGACTATATCCTTCAGGAACCTGCTGACGCAACCTTGGGAAGCCCAGCCGGAAGGAGAAGGTCGTAGGAGAAAGGGCAGCAGCAAAGCAGGTGCAGATGATATGCGGATCCAACAAGCAGCCGCGCCAGCAACCAGTAATGGATAAGATTCAGATGACGACCTGGAATGTCAGGGGACTGGGGGATACAAGCGGAAGGCACAAAAAAGCAAGATTGAAAACATGGGTTCACATAGAACGAGTGCAGGTGGTTTTTCTTCAAGAGACAAAGCTGGTTGAAGACAAGATAGATCAGATAAGTAGGTGGTGGAAGGGACCTCAATGGTGGGCCCCAGCAGATGGGACAAAGGGAGGAACCGCTATCTTGATCCACAACAGCTTGGATGTGGAATTCCTAGAGAGTGAGTATGATGTTTGGGGACAGTGGGTGTGGGTGCGCCTCCGCCTGGCTGGACAGATATGGGTTCTAATGTCGATTTATGCCCCCGCCATCCCAGGAGATCGCAGATCCTTCTTCAGGGATTTACCGAATGTAATCCCTGAGGCTGACCACATGGTTATTGCAAGGGATCTTAATACAGTTATGAGCCCCGGATTGGACTCCCCTATCTCTCGAGCAAGGAAGGAAGATGCAGTCCTGTTGGAACAGCTAATGGCTACTTACGAGCTGACGGACTCCTATCGAAGTATCCACCCTGAAGCACAGGATTATACGTGGCACTCGGCCCAGAGCAGTGGGAACACAACACCCCCTAAGCGCAGATTAGACTTGGTACTGACAAAGGGGGAGGCCTGGGACGCATTATCAGAGGTGGAGATTGTGCCACATCCTATGTCAGACCACTGGCCTATAAAAGCGGTGTTCAGAGTAGGTACGAATAGCCGGAAGGAAAGAGGATATTTTCGGTTAAATACCGAAAATTTGAAAAATTCGGCACTTATTGAATGGTGTAACAGGCACTGGGAAGATTGGGAGAAAACAAGGGAGTGGTTCAGCTCGGAAGAGGAGTGGGTACAAGTCGGTTTCCGAATGGTGACCAAGGTGTTGGACATCTTTTCCAGGATCCTAGCTAAAGAAAGACGAAGGGAGGAAGAAAACTGCAGAAGAATGGTGCAGGAGGCGGAACAACAGATTGGCAAAGACCCGTACACAGACAGGTACTGGGAACACCGCAGGGATAAGTGGCTGGACAAATGGGAACGGTGGCAGGTAGAACAGCAAGAGGTCAGGGCAAGAAGGGCCAAGGAACGCGGTATGGCGCAGTTGGATCGTATGACGAAGGATACCTTTAAGAAGTTGTGTCCCCCCCGGTCACATGGGATCATTCGGGCGCTGAAACATCCGTTCAACGCACAGGCAGACCTGGCGGAGGACACAGAGACCATGGTCGATTATGCGATGGCATACTACAGCGATATTTTGACTTCAAGAAGGCCTCCAACAGAGTCATTGGCAGAAATGAGGCAAGAGGTGGACTTGTGGAAAAACACAGACAAAAGGTTAGAGGTGCATCAACGACAGTCTTTGGACCGCCCGTTATCTCTGCAGGAACTTCAGGAAACGGTGAAGAGCATGGCAAAGGGGAAGACTCCAAGGAACGATGGGTTACCGGTGGAATTCTACGAACCAACCAGGGAACAGGTTGGACCACTTCTACTTAGACTTTTCAACAAGGTACTGGAGGGGGGGAGGTTGACAGAAGATATTGTAGAGGGACAATAACGTTATTGTACAAGAAGGGAGATAAGCAGAATGTCAGGAACTGGAGGCCGATATCCCTGCTGAACGTTGCATACAAGATTTTGGCAAAAACACTCTCCAGGAGATAAGCGAAGTATCTTCCAGAACTCGTGTGTGCGGATTAGGGGGCATTCATGAAGGGAAGGTCTATTGCGGAAAATATCTTAGTTGCGATGCGGGCGCTGGAAGTGATCAGCAAAGAGAAGAGACAAGTAATGGTTGTTATGTTGGACCTGGAGAAAGCTTACGACCTCGTGAATTGGTCGTTCGTTCTAGCAACGCTGGAGCACATGAACTTCGGGGCTCCTTTTCGCAGATGGATAGAAGCAATGTACTGCCATTCCATGGCCTCGGTGCTGGTCAATGGGAGACAGTCTCAGAACTTTGAGCTTTCTCGGTCCTTGAAACAGGGGTGTCCTTTGACACCTCTGCTCTTCGTGATTCAAATGGAAGTACTGCTGAACTCCCTTCGGATAACTCCCTTGGTCAAAGGTCTCAGATTGAGAAAGGAAGTGGAAGTTCTCACTGGAGCAATCGCGGACGACCTTCTGCTGATTACGGAAGCCACAGAAGAATCTACTGAAGCAGCAAAAGCCCTGCTGGATCAATATTCAGACCTTTCAGAGGCCAGAGTCGATTGGGACAAGTCCCTGTACTTCCTACCTGCTCAGTTTGACCTGTCGGATGACTGGTCGATGAAGAGAATCACAGAGAGTGAATCAGAGAGGTACCTGGACGTTCAAGTGTCCCTAACGAACAGTCGTCTAGCTCAGGATGCCATCCTGCTTGGAAAAGTCGAAGCAAGCATCGCTAAATGCAAAATGGCCCCAGAACTGTCATTGATGGGCCGAGCATTGGTGATTACGACGGTGGTCTTTTCGCTGCTTTGGCATATAGCTGCAGTGCTGTTGATAACCAAGCCTACGATTCGCAAAGTGAAAGCAGCGGCGGCCAAATACCTGTGGAAACCACAGGCGAAAGAACATGAAGGATATATTTCTAAAGTACCATGGAATAAAGTGGCTAGACCAAAGGAGGAAGGTGGCCTGGGAATAATTGACCCAAAAAGACAGAATCTGTCTCTTCTGGGTAAGTGGTTCTTGAAGGTGGCTATGCAAGCAGAAAGAAGAAATTGGCTGGATATTATGTTGCATATTCTCCAGCAAGAATTTCACCTCAGCAGACCGAAGGACGTCTGGACTTGCCTCCGGATGACCTCATTTGAAACACGCAGACCAAGATCAGCAATTGGGCTGGCATGGTGGATAGCATGGAGGAAGTTGAAGCCGAGGAACACGCCAATGCCAACAGCTAAAGAAGAAGTGTTATCTCAGACACTGTTCGACAACGAGAGGATCCTCAATATAGACAGACTCCCTTTTTCTGCAGTAGCGGCATCACGAAGAAACTTTGGAAGGAGGTGGGTGGAAAGAGGTGTCTCGAAGGTGCAAGATATTTGGGAGGAGGAGCATTTGGAGTGGAGGACAGAAAGGGAGGTCCAGCTCAAGTTGGGGGGACTGAGAGGAGTGGCTGAGAAACTGTCAGCATTGACAGAGGCTGTTCCATCGGACTGGTTGGCGTTGTTTAAACAGGGAGCAGAGCCAGTGAAACATGCTTGGTACAAAGAGGCCAGAACGGCTGGAGGAGTGACCCCCTGTTACAGGGTGGAGGAACAATTGGAGGAAGGAGAGTGGAGAGTCTCTAGATGGGACACACACCCTCTGGAAAGGGTAGAAGGTAGGCTGAGGAGCAGAGGGGAAGACAGAGTCACATAGATTCAGGATTGGAAGATGATCAGAGTGATTAGCATGGGACGGAAAAATGGAAGGGAGGACTGGAGGGTCGTTCAGAACGGGGATGTAATCAGTAAACTCAGGCTGGACCCAGCCTTGTTTAAGTGGGAGGAGCTTGGCCTGAGCCACAACTGCTTGGCAAACTATACTTCCAGCATGGGGAGGAAGATCCTGTGCGCAACAAGATCGTATGTCCCAGAGATTACGGAGCGAGTCATACGTACGTTTGTTCTGCTTTCCCCTCCGTCCGAAAGAGTGATGGGGATTCTCTGGGCACAACTACCCCTGCTCCCAAGCATTAAGTTCTCGGGCCTCCTTTGGTTGATATCTCATTCAGCTATTCCTTCAGCAACTTGGTTGGCGGACAGAGGAATGCAGATCAAGAGAACCTGTCCCAGATGTGGAGGCAGAGAAGAAGAAATAATTCTTCATCTTATTTGGGAGTGCCCGACTTCAAAGAGAATTTGGAGATGGTGGGCTGGGCACTGGCAGAACCTGGGATCAGCATTGAATTGGGGTAGGGAGTGGATTGTTACTGGCCATCTCCGTCCACTCTTTTTTTCAAAGAAGGGATGGGGGTACATGGCCCAGGCTATCAGGTCGGCGGTGATGTGGATAATGTGGGAGGATCGCAATCAAATCATGTTCCGAAAGGAATGGCAGATAGACGAGTCAGTCAAACGGAAGGTGAAGGCACTGATTCAGACCATAATCTTGGTTGACTGGCACCGGAAAGCAGACAAAGGAAGGGCTCCGGGAGGTAGGACTTGGTTTCTGTTCACCTGGGCAAGAGGCAGTCAATTGGTAGGGGTGATTGTAGAAGGAAGGCTGGTGTTTTCGCCCTGGCTCAGAGAATGATTGGACAGTGGCACTGTCTTGCCCCCACCTGTCCCCTCGGTGGGGAAAGTATTTTGGGTAGAGGCCGCAGGAGGCCAACTCGGTCCGGATTAGGATCGTTGTGAGAGGAACCTGTAGTTTACGAGCCTCTTCAGGCTCGGGGGGGCGTATAGTCCCTGGTAGTACATTAGGTGTTGGTGGTTTACTGCAGTTAGGCATTTCTTGTGGCCTTTTTTTTTTCAGTAGTAGGCATGTCAAACATTGAGTGGTTTTGTCTTGGTAGTTAATAGGAATCTAATGTAGGACATTGTCTTGTTACTCATAAGCTAAACCGGCTGATGCTGTCGGGATAACCCCGGGTTGAATTGTGAGGACCCCGGCCTCAGGTAATTCGTTTCCTCTTATAATGAATTGGAATGTGTTCTTTAAAAAAAATAATAATAATAAAAATAATAATAATAAAAATAATAATAATAAAAATAATAATAATAAAAATAATAATAATAAAAAAAAAATCAAATACACAAAATTTAAAAAAGAAAGAAAACGAATGCTAAGAAACGAAGTCACGCAGGACGGAGAGAGAGAGAGAGAGAGAGAGAGAGAGAGAGAGAGAGAGAGAGAGAGAGAGAGAGAGAGAGAGAGAGAGAGAGATCAACAACGGAATGCATCTTCCCGCGAAAGCGGGAAGATTCATTCCCGTTTTCGTTTTTTTTTTTAATTATCAAAACTCAATTCTTATTCCATCAGAACTGAAGAGAGGCCGGGCACCTCACAATTCAACTCGGAGTTATCCTGGCAGCGTCAACCGGTTTAACTCATGTCAAGAAGACCTTGTCTGAGAAACATAATGGCTAAAAAAAGCCTCTTTGATATCCTCATTCAAAACAAATCCTACTACTAGAAAGGGAACCACAACAAATCCTATCACTGAGCCACTACCACTATCAACTCAGGCCTATAAAGCGGCCAGAACCTCCGCCCGAAGACCGAGTGGAACAAAAGTTCCTCAACGAAAGGCAGTCACTCACCACCCCCCACCCCAATGCAGACTACTGCGTCTGCCGACAGGAACCGAGCGCCCTGGTTCGATGATGCGAGACAGGGCATAGAAGAGGAGTTGATTTGACTCAGAAAGGGGATCGAGAAGGTATGCTGACGTAGGAGGGGAGATAAAGGGATATGGGAGAAAAATAGAAGGGAAAGGTAGGGGAACGAAAAAAAAAATAAAAAAATACTACATCTAAGATTTCAGCCAAGGTGAGATAACCATTTACCCTTCCACTGTAACTGCTGCCAGCGCGTTGTCTCTTGCCCACGTGTCCAAAAACCAATGTCGTCCCCTGGTGGTCCGACCTCTTGCTGCACGTCTGATCCAGTCCACCTGTATCATCATGCGTATCCAGGTTTTGATCTTTTGGATCAAAGCGGTGTCGTTTGTCCATTCCTCCCGGAACAGGATGTTGTTCCTGTCCTCCCAGATGATCCAAATGATGATAGACCGAATAGCTTGGGCAACATAGCCCCTACCTGTGTGTTTAAACCAGGTGTCTGAAATCCTTCCGTACAGTGCCCAGTCCTCATCCCAGGGCAAAATAGGGCCCACAAATTTGGACCAATGGCTGTCCCACCACCTCCAGATGCGACGGGAGGCCGGGCAGGACCAAAAGAGGTGGTGCAGAGTCTCTTCCTGTCTTCTGCCACAACGTCTGCATTTCATCTCCAGTTCCATGCCCTTCTTAAATAACCACACAGAGCATGGTACTGCAGTGTGTGAAATCAACCACAGAAGTCCAGCCAATTTTAAAGACGGCAAAGATGGAAGCTGTGCCCACAGAATTCGAAGATGCCCCTCCGTGACGGGGGCTGCAACCGTTACTTGACCGTTGAGGCGTGTTGCCACTTTGGATGGTAGGTCTTTGGAATCGCAAAGCAAGGTACGGCCGAGGCAGGTAGAGTACTGTGAAAGGTCTCTTATTTGTCCTGAGGGCAACTTCCAAAATCTGGCTTGAGGGTCAATTCTGAGCTCCCTCAGCGGTGCCCCTGCCAGCAGGAGCTGATAAGAGCACTGATTAGGCACTCCACTGCTGGTTGAAACCCGGATTTGCTGCAGGTCGCACCCTTCCTGAATGGTGGTCTCCCCTTGCCGCTGCAACTTGTAGGTAGAAGGGGGGGTAGATAACCTCCATTCCTCTGCCAGCCATGTGCCATCCTCCTGTTGTTCCCTGATTCGTAGGACCGCACTTCTCCCTGGGTTGTCCTTGCAGCGGTACCATTCTCCTTTGACAGGAGTTGATGAATGTAGCAGGTGCCCCCAGTCCTGTGGGATCGCGTCTAACAGCTGCTGCCTTCTCTCACTAACGGATCTCAGGTTACCCAACTTCCGCTTCAGCTTGTGGGTGGAGCGCCAGTCCTCCTCAACATCATCCCACAAATCCTCCAAACGTACGATGCCCTTCTCGACCCACCTTCGTCTAAAGTTCCCTGTTGTGGATGTTGCTGGGAAGCAATCTCCTATCGCATTCGTGATTCTTGGATTGTCAAAGATAAATTGCCTCAGCACCTCCTCATGCGTCACCGGTTCCTTGTGGTGAGGTGGAACAAGAGTCCGCCACGCCGCCCAGCAGGCTTTGGCTATTGGTGAACTTAGCTGTCTTCGGGCCATTGAGGACATGAAAATGTAGGCCCAGACGTCCTCTCTTCTTGACACTGATAATTCTTGATGAAGGATGTATTCCAATATCACCAACCAAGCACGACGTTCTGGTTGCGTGGCCGCTTTGGCCAACCACTTCATAAGGAGCGCCGTGTTCTACCTTTCCGGGTCCAGTACGCCCAAGCCGCCGTCTTCCTTTGGAGCAGTAATCTTGACCCAAGCGCATTTAGAGATAAAGCCCTCACCCTCCTGTGCCGCTGACTTCCACAGGTAACGCGCTGCAGCCCCTATGATCTGTTTAAGTGCTGGTTTGGAGATTAAAAAAATGGCTGCAGCAAACCACAGCTGCGCAAAAACTACCGAGGTAATAAGCATAGCTCTTCCCAACAGTGAAAGGCCAATGGCCGTGCGGCATTTTTGCAGACTAGCTTGTACCTTCGCAAGCAAAATGGCGTCTTGTTTGGGATGTGCATCCTGCAGTGATACTTGGACCCCGAAGTAGTGCTCCGAGATGGTGGGGGGGACTCGCTTCATTCCCCAATCATGTCCCGAAAGATCATATCTGGCGGGAAGAAAGTAAACTGACTTCCCCCAGTTGACCTGCGATTCAGAGAGGTCCGCATATTGGTCCAGCACATGTTTTGCTTCCTGCAGCGACTGCGGGGTGGCTTCCATCACGAGCAACAGATCGTGAGCTATTGCGCCTGTTAGCAGATGGTCACTTGACCCCAAGTCCAGTCCTTGAATGTGTGGTGACGCTCGGAGGGCATTAAGGAACACTTCCATCTGCACAGCAAACAAAAGAGAGGCTAGGGGACAGCCCTGTCTCAGCAAACGTGTGAGCGAAAAGGAAGATGATAGAAAGCCGTTAACGCAAACCGTGGCGGTGGATTCTGAGTACAGGTCCTTCACCCATCCACGATACATCGGTCCAAAGCCCATGTGCTCCAGCGTTGCCAAGACGAATGACCAGTTGACACGGTCATAGGCCTTTTCCAAATCCAACATGGCTACTATGACCTGCCTCTGTTCTCTCTCGATTATCTCTAAAGCCCCCACGGCCATCATAATGTTCTCGGCAATGGAACGTTCCTGGACAAAAGCTCCTTGGTCCGTATGGACTAAGTCCGGAAGAAGGGGTGCCAGCCGCCTTGCCAGTACTTTGGCAAGTATTTTGTAAGAGACGTTGAGTCTGGAGATAGGGACAGAGAGAGAGAGAGAGAGAGAGAGAGAGAGAGAGAGAGAGAGAGAGAGAGAGAGAGA